TTCTATAATATATTTCTTATCTCTTTTCAAAAAATAATAAATCCTCATCTCTTTGATATGTTTTTAGTGTTTTTGAGACATTAAATTTGTTTATTTCTATTTAAATTTCACAAAACATGAAATTACATTACATTTTTCAGAAGTGTGAGTTATGTTTATAGACAATTTCTGGAATTACATTTGATTGTATATAAAGTTATCTTCTTATGGCGAGTTACATTTTCTTGTGCATGACCTACATCTTCTTATGTGCAAGTTACCACTACAAAAAAACATCTGTTTTGTCACAGATTTTTGTCACGGATTACGGCCGTGACAAATTTGTAACGGGCTTTGTCACGGAAAAATGGGATTTGTCACGAATAGGTTTTATCACGGATACGTATGTGACAAAATCCGTGACAATTCTTTGTCACGGCATTTTCTTATCTCAATGTACATGTTTAATGTGAGAACGTGAGAACCATGCACTTTTAACACAACTTGGTGCACTATGAGCTTCATCTATTACACTTTTTAAACTTTGATCAAAACATGCCAACATCAAATAAATGCGGTAGCAGATTCGTAAATATTTTGTCAACATGAAAATGTGCAACGTATACCTTATATAGTGCATCACGTACATTTGCTTAAAAGTGAAGTTCTCACGTTCTCAAGTTAAGCATGGTTCTCATTTGATCCTAAATATATATATATATATATATATATATATATATATATATATATATATATATATATATATATATATATATATATATATATATATATATATATATATATATATATATATATATATATATATATAGAGAGAGAGAGAGAGAGAGAGAGAGAGTCATTTTCCTGTCCAGCTGGCCTGGTCGGACAGGAAGGTGGTCCAGCCACCTCAATTTGAGGTAGTCCCCGATGGTATTTTTTGCTGAATTTTTTTGTCTAGTTCATCCATACCAAATTTGAGTGAAAAATCAATCGAGAAGGTCGTCAAATGATTTTTGCATGATAACTGCTCCGGAATATACATATAAAACACAGTTATTACATAATACTTAAATGTGAAGAATAAAGATTTAAACTCAAGTGTGCATTAGGTGAAACTGTAATGTGCGGAATAAAAGGTACAAAAATAACATCACATCGTACCTTTTATTCTGCACATTCCAGTTTCACCCAGTGCACGTTTCACTTTCACCTAATGTACAATTCACTTTTACATAATGTCACTATATCATAATCTTTGTGTTGCACATTTCAATTTCATCTAATGCACATTACAGTTTTATCTAATGCACATTGAGTTTCTCTTAAAGCAAATCTAACGGTCCAAATTCATTCTCATTTCTCTCCTAATATTATGTTCTTATTTGAACCAAAACACACACACACACACACACACACACACATATATATATATATATATATCACTGTTCTAAAAACCGGCATAGTCGGACCAATTAATCGGCCTAGGCGACCTAGTCGGCCCTTACTGAGGAACACTAATCGGCCTAGTCGGCTAAAAAATGGCCTAGTCGGCCAAAAAATTGACCTAGTCGGCTGCCTAGGCGCTAGGCGCCCCTCAACCGTCTGACTAGCGCCTAGCGAGTTTTAGAACAATGATATATATATATATATATATATATATATATATATATATATATATATATATATATATATATATATATATATATATATATATATATATATATATATATATATATATATACTAATCATGCTTAATTTACTAACCTACAAACTCAATAATATGCAACACTTTGAACTTCACTATGCAGTACAAATAATGTAAAGATGCACTCTTTGAACTTCAATATGCAATACAAATAATGTAAATATGAAACTGCTATTTTATGGCTTGAATAATATGAACATTTTAAACTTCAATGTACAATACAAATAATGTAAAGATGATTTGAATGGGAGGACTAGTTTGTATGTAATCTCACCCCTGCATCTTTACATTATTAGTACTGCATATTGAAGTTCAAAGTGCTGCATATTATTGAGTTTGTAGGTTAGTATTTTAAGCACGGTTTGTATTTGATCTCTTATCTATATATATATATATATATTGTGTTGAAATATGAATTGAACTACTCCCTCCGTCCCGCTAACAATGGTACAAGAGGGAGTGACATACAAATCAATAAAAAGTGGTTCATGTGGTTGATATTAAATTGATAAAGTAAGAATAAAGTAATTATAATTTAGAATCACATAAATTTTACTAAATTTGATATGGGAAAATCTTATTGGGAGGGAGGGACAAAGGTAAAATGGGACATGGACGGAGGCAGTAGTATAACTTAAGGTAACAAGTAGCAGGCAAGTGGACGGCATTTAACTCCGCTACGATTTCCAAGAAAGGCACCAAATTGGCCATGTGCATGCCCGAAGAGAGAGCATAATGCATGATTGCGAATATGAATTGTCCATACTTCCGAGTTTTGGGACCGGGGATCCACTAGAGGAGTGGCGAGGCCTCAACAATGCCAGATAGATTAATCACTATCTTACTTGTTATTTACTTATATTTACATATATTACATCTAATTAATATATTAAGTATATATATTAAAGTATTAAATATAACTGCATGTACTACTCATCATAGAGTAGTATGCTTATATATTATATACTATAAACAATATATTACGGAGTATGTATAGTTACACTTTCATTAATATTAGTTAAATTTATCCTATTACTTACACACTCACACTCCCATTAATTAGTATACATTCATATATTTTACTTAATTTCTCATTTGTTACATACTAATATTAATTGCATTTTTAGTTGATTTTACTATACTTGTCACATTATCATATTAGTTAACCATATTTGTTACATACTAATATTAATCATATAAAAATTGTTAGATTAAAATATAAAAGTAGTTGGAATTTAAGTTAATTAAATTATTAAACTAGTTGGAATTTTAGTTAATTTTACTACACTTGTTAGATTAAACTATAAAAGTAGTTGGAATTTAGTTAATTAAACTATTAAACTAGTTGGAATTTTAATTAGTCTTACTACACTTGTTAGATTAAATATACAACTAATTGGAATTTTAGTTAATTCAACTATTAAACTAGTTGGAATTTTAGTTAGTTTTACTACACTTGTTAGATTAAAATATAAAAGTAGTTAGAAATTTAGTTAATTAAAATATTAAACTTGTTGGAATTTTAGTTAATTTACTACACTTGTTAGATTAAATTATTAAAATAGTTGGAATTTTAGTTAATTAAACTACACTTGTTAGATAAAAATATAAAAGAAATTCAAATTTTAGTTATTTAAACTATTAAAGTAGTTGGAATTTTAGTTAATTTTACTACATTTGTTAGATTAAAATATAAAAGTAGTTCGAATTTTAGTTAATTAAACTATTAAACTAGTTGGGATTTTAGTTAATTTTACCACACTTGTTAGATTAAAATATAAAAGTAGTTGGAATTTTAGTTAATTAAACTATTAAACTAGTTGGAATATTAGTTATTTTTACTACACTTGTTAGATTAAAATATAAAAGTAGTTCGAATTTTAGTTAATTAAACTATTACACTAGTTGGAATTTTAGTTAATTTTACTACACTTGTTAGATTAAAATATAAAAGTAGTTGGAATTTTAGTTAATTAAACTAGTTGGAATTTTACTTAATTTTACTACACTTATTAGATTAAAATATAAAAGTAGTTCGAATTTTAGTTAATTAAACTACAAAGTATTAAACTAGTTTGAATTTTAGTTAATTTTACTACACTTGTTAGATTAAAATATAAAAGTAGTTCAAATTTTGGTTAATTAAACTATTAAACTAGTTGGAATTTTAGTTAATTTTACTACATTTGATAGATTAAACTATTAAACTAGTTGGAATTTTAGTTAATTAGACTACACTTGGGGTCATCAAAGATGGAGTTAAGGATGGATGGGGGTGGCCTGACCCTGGCCCGGTATTGTTTAGACCAGGCCCATTACTGTATAGGCCTGGTCCCATCCCAGGGCCCGGTCCAGTGGCTATAAGGGGCTAAGGGCGGGCATCGGATTCGATTTTTTAAGGTCCGGCCGGGCCCGACTGCACTATTTGTTTAATTGAATGCCCAGTCCCCTCCCGAAGCCCGGCCCTGTACTGTTTGCGCCCGGCCCAACCCGGTACCGGTACAAACCCAGGCCGGTACCGAGCCTGAAATCCTTAAGCCCGAAACCCACCCAGTCCTGTCCCGTAGCCTGGCCCGGTCCCGTCCCAGTCCATCCCTAGATGGAGTGTCATGAAGAGTTGATAAATATGCCAAAGTAATGTTGTTGGTATTTAGTTCCTAAGGAACATTTGGGCACATATGGTTAAAGTTATCAATGAGTCTTGGTGTCAAAATTACAGAAACCACTCGTGCGGCTTCACAGATTGGGGGGCTGAAGAAATACTTGCAGGTCATACTAGAAGACCAAAAAGCATAGGGCCTTCCTGGCGCGATGTCAAGCGAGATACTTGGCATAGCTTCATCTATGAGTCTTACTAGAGATGTCTTCATCTTGAAAAGTAATACCTAAATGACATTGAATTGCTGTAATCTACTCTTGTCAGTGTTCATTATATTCCATATAGCTAAGATTAATTTAATATGTTACAGCTTACAACAAAATTAAGCCAAATTGAGGAGGCTTTAACTGCATTTACATCTACAAAGACAAACCTAGTACAAAATACATAAACATCGTTAAGGATCAATCTTGAAGGTTAGTTTACCTATGCTGCTATGCTCTCTTTTGCATTTCACATGAGCCAACGTTAGCTTCATTAGCCTTCAGATTATGCTGTACTTTAAGAACTCATTGTTTTCTGCTCCGGCGTTACTAAATCATCCACATGACTAGTTCTGCTTCTTTCCACAGAGGATTTGTCGATATTATCTGATTCCAAATGACTGGTAGCCAACTCCAATTTGGGCAGTCTATCAGTCTCTTTGACAGAGTCCATATTTAATATCTCATCTAGGATTACCGATGAATCGGTGTGATTACTGGCACTATCTTCTTCAGGATACTCTTTGTGATCATGTGATTCTGAGTGATGTGCACTAGTTTTATGTTCGGGCAGACCATCACTCTCTAAGATCACCGAAGGATTGTTACTATCATTAGTGCTTTCCTCCTCAAATGACTCGGGATTATATGATTCCAACTTATGGGCAATAATTTGTGGTTTGGTCAGACCTTCTGCCTCTTCAATAGAACTTGCATACAGTACCTCCTGGATCACCCAAAGGTTAACAATATCATGAGTGGCCATTTGATGATTTCTGATTATTATCAAAGACATGCAACAATCCATTTGTTTTCTATTCAAGCAAGGGAACACAGTTGAAAGCAAATATTTCTTCAAATATAGTTATGATATGAAAAAATGCAGCAAGAATTTTAGGTTATTACTCAAAATACTACTAAAAAACGATCCCCAAATATGCTTATTGATGGCTTCCCAAAATAGGGACCATTTAACACGGAGCATTAAAGAAGAATGGAATTTATTCATAATTATTTTTTAAGTGAATCCATCATATTTTGGTAAAAGATAGTCATATTCGGAGAGAGGTAATATGCTTTATTCTGATTTAGGTTATATTTTACTATGAAAATGAAGTTATCACCAACCTGATTCCGTAAATAATGTGGAACCTCCATTTCTGTTTCCTGGTCCAAGTTACATGATTTTGGTGGGAACAATGATGCTTCTTCAAGATCAGCTGGACTATTACTATCTTCAGAAGTGTCCAACTCTGCACCTTGCTTTTCATGACTGTTACGCTTAATAAGCTCTAAAATGTCATTTTCCTCGGCCTTATTAGCCGCATGTGTGGGTGTACACAAATCTGAATCTTGTTGGATCACTCCCTCCGGTGAAATGATTTGCGTGGGGTGAATACTTGAAAATCCAACTTCAACTAGATCTTGTTCAGTAACCTTAGGTGCTTCTCTTGACCTTGATTCATTTTGATTTAATCCTGATGAAGCCGCCCATAATGTGTCAGACGTATCTTTCTCATCCATATCCCTATTGTACACTGAAATTTCTTCCTCTAGTGACGAGGTTCCATCAACAGATCTTGGTGGAGAACCAAGTTCAGATACCTCCACCTGTAAGTCAGAAGCAATAGAATGGCTAGGGGTAGGAAACATGGAAAATTTGGCAAAATAGTAATTTTCATCCATTCTGGCAATCTGGCGGCCTTCCTGACAATTTTCCTGGTTATCTGTAGTTATGTTATTTCTTGGAGCTGGAGGTGTACTAAGTGACTTTATGATTGCATTTTTATCAATTCTGTAAAATGGCTCATCTTCTTCTGATTCTGAAGGAGATGAAGATGATGAACTTGTTCTATCATCATCAATATCTTCAATTAGTACTGATTTTATTTGAACTTCTCCGTTATCTTCTTCATACTGAGTAGTAGAGACTGGTTCTTTGATATTGCTGGGACTCACATGGTTCAACTTCTCTGGTTCTTCGACTGAAACTTGCTTCATTAGCTCATCAGCGGCATCTTCCTTACCTGCTACGGAAAGTGTCAAAGCATAAAACACAAACAAAAGAAGTTACTTTTGCAATGACCATGCCTGGAAATAGCTATAGGCTTTTAAGGCCTTGGCCGAGATCCCCACTCTAACAAAAGGCTCAACAATTTCATACTCCCTCTAGTCCTTACCATAATACACATTTAACAGGATTCATTGGTCATTTTATATGGTTTTTCTTTTTTCTGTAAAGTATATACGTAGTATGATTTATTTCCCATTTCTTGTCTCTAATATTATCATGTTCATGCTTATTTCTAAAAACAAATGTTCTAAAAGGAGCTAGGCACTAGTCCGGTGCCAGCCCAGCGCCTAACGCCTAGAAATAAGTAATGTTATTAATATATTTTCATAAATGTTATAAGTAATGTTGTATTTGTGTCTATATAGAGAGAGAGAGAGAGTAGTGTTCCGGTCAGGAATTCCTGACCGGAACCGCCTTCCGGAAGACGGCTCTTGGGGACCTTCCTGGTGGAGTTTTTTGATAAAATTTTTATGGCATGTTCTTGTAGTTTATCCACAAAAAAATTCAGCTAAGAAGTCACTCGGGAAGGTCGTCAAATGATTTTTAGAAGATAACTGCGCCGGAAAATACATATAAAACACAATTAACTTGTAAAAATCATTTGACGACTTTCCCGGTTGAGTTTTTAACTGAATTTTTGTGTGGATAAACTAAACTTGATGAAGAACATGAAATAAAAATTTCATCAAAAAAATCGACCGGGAAGGCGGCCAAACGCCGCCGTCCGGACGGCGGTTCCTGTCCGGAATTCCGGACATGAACTTTCCTCTCTCTCTCTCTCTCTCTCTCTCTCTCTCTCTCTCTCTCTCTCTCTCTCTCTCTCTCTCTCTCTCTCTCTCTCTCTCTCTCTCTCTCTCTCTCTCTATATATATATATATATATATATATATATATATATATATATATATATATATATATAAACGCGCACACACATTAAGATGCATAAAAAATAGAATCATCACATTTTATAATATATTATAAAATAATAACTTAACTTCACTATGTAATAAATATTTAATAATAATTGTTTAAGACTATATACAAACATATATAGTTTTTATCTTAATCTGCAACTACCTTTCTTCATATCAGTGGTTAATAACTTAATATTAAATGTACAAATATCTCTTAGAAAAATAAACTTAAAAAGGAAAAAAATGGTAGGCGAATATAGACGCCATAGGCAGCCGATTAAGCACTCTAGGCCCCAAACCAATCATTTAGGACGCCTAGACTAAAATCAGGCCACCCGACACTGTCTAGCGCATAGGCGGGCTGGGACTAGTTGGGCACCTAGAGCGATTATTAAACAATCGTTTCTTTTAAAAGTTGTACTCTGTATTAATAAATATTTTGTAGAGTATTTGTATGGTCTTATTTTCATGGTGCAAGTTAACAAATACATTAAGTTAAAAGAATATAGATAAACACTTGTATTATGTTTTCAAAACAAAACTTGAATCATAGACTGCAAGTGTAGTGACGTATGATTAGATTCCTAAAAAGAACTAGGAGGTAATTTAGTGCAGAGCACATAATAAGGACTTAATCAGAGGCAGGTTTGGTTGGTCGAAATAATTTTAGAAGAGATGTCAAAGGAGGCCTACAATTATTAGAAAAATGTATTATGCAATCAACATTTTCTTACCAAATGGGGTTCTTGATCTGTAATTTTCAGAAGATTCAACATTATGCAGATCAACATCAGATTCAAACTCCCCAAAGAATGAGCCACCGCCTAAAGCAAAGCTCTCATGCCTACAGAACATCAAATCTTGCTGAGGAACCATGAAATCGTGCTGGAAACTACCGCCGCTAAGATTGGGCTTCTCTTCATGCTGATCATAAGGCAGGTCAAAGGGGTTGCGGTTTTTCAACAAAACTGAAGGAGCAGACCCCGGGGCAGAGGGTGAAAAAAGGCCACCATTTGATGAACAGTTAGAATTCGTTCTTGGAATCATAATAGAAATGGGAGGATCATCGCTTCCCAGATTCATCAAAGTCCTCCTCACATGGATGCTCACCAGTCTTCTTGCTCTACGTCTCGCCATTAAACTCTCTAACCTTTTATTCCTTTCCATCTCAGAGAGATCCATCAGATTCTTCTTATTCTGAGGATGACCATGAGTTGTCCATTGCACACCACCCTTACTCCTCTTAACATTTTCTTCTCCGTTATCATCGGAATCATCATTCTTCAGCATCTTAATCTCGCCCTCATATCTGCTCCTCCTAAAAGCAGGCTTCTTCTGCCAATCCTTAGAAAAACGATCAAAGGAAGAGCAACATTCGGTCACAGAATGAACCTCAACCACTTCTCTGATATCCTTCATGTGATGTTGTTCTTCTTCTTCTGTTAGAGTACTTTTATCAAACACATGGTGGTCACCAAAACCTTCTGGTAGGAAAATTGAACCTCCGTTATCCTCAACATATGGCGGAAAATCCTTCTTCGATTTCCTACGCCTGACCGACCGAGCACGTCCAACGCATTTCTTTTTCTTCCCCCCTTCGTCTTCAATTTTTCCCCTATTCCGAACGTCATCTTTGGGACGTTCATGACCGTATAACACTATAACCACAATGCCGGACATTAGCAAAAGAGGAAGAGAGTAAATCAAGAACCAGAAGATTGATGAGAAGAACACATATAAGATGATGAACACGAAGCAAACAAATGAGGGCAAGGGATGTTCCCTTACATATGTACAAATTAGTTTCATCGAAAATTCAAGAAAAATCCATAGATAGGTTTGAATGTCTTTTGACGTCATCCCCATTTTCTATCTCAACGCAATACAACAACTTTTTGGAATCCTTGAGAGATATCTCATATTATAATCAACATAAAGACGAAATTAACAGGCTAATTAAGCTAGCTAGACTTTTACTTATTTATCATAAATAAAAGTCTAGAAATGCATAGAAATCAAAGGGCGTTATTATTTGAGATGATGCAATTATGTGACTGATTGGTTTTCTTTCCATGAAACTAATTAAGTTTTTTTGTTTCTGCTTAGATCCATGGAGAAGAATGTCCTACGTACGTACCTCCTCCTCTATTGCAGAAATGTGCCGTTTTCCCGCTGCTTTCGGAGGATCAGTCAGTAAAAGTTAGGGATAAAATCCCACGGTACTTGAATAAGAATATACATTGATCATAGACTTCATGAATGATGAAGAAAATTATTTTTCATCTGAGCTCCAAAAACATCTCGGATTTTGCACTGGGCCGGAATATATTTCATGGAAAGTGGTGTGCGTGAAAATAGCTATGGATTTTCCAAACATAATTTTTCATATCAGAAGGCCTTCATACTCATAAATCAGAATTTTATACGTAGTACTATATATGTTTCACTAAAATTAGGATATGAGGAGGTGATCGATATTAAATTGATAAAGTAAGAATAAAGTAAGAACGATTTAAAATCATACAAATTTTACTAAATTTGGTATGAGACAATATTACTGGGATGAATCGGAAAGAAAAAATAGAGCAATCTTAACGGAACGAAGAAAGTACTACATAATAAAAAGTACAGTTTGTTAAGAGCTGTAATTAAACTATAATCACAATATGATATGATTGATAGAGTGTATAACCTTCAATTTATATTTGTAATTAACCCTTAACACAGTTGTTCTGAATTAAACTTGAATCTACCTATTATGACACACTATCAATTCTTGGTAAGCTAGGTTGAACGATTTAGATTTCAAAGGTGCCTAAATTCTTGCAACATTGCTACATACTCCTCATGTCCCATTTAAAAGTTTTGGCTTACTATTATCCGTTCAACGTGAATAGTTCTTAATCTTTTACTTTATATATCCAGTTTTTATTAAATTTAATTTTTCTTAATCAAGTTTTATAAAACTTTTAATGTAAATTTCATTTACTACAAATAATCTTATTAATGACTGAGATCAGTTAACTTTATTATTAGTCAAACATATTTTTGGAATAAACCGCGTGAAAACCTTAAGTGGAACAGAGGGGGTATAAAACATGGTTATTAAACACTATCCTTCTAACCATTATTCTTGGAATATTACACGTTATTTTTTTTCGTGCTTCAAGCATAATAAATTCCAACTATTTTTATTGAAGGAATGAATACCTTCATGGCTTCATCATTAGGTCGTCATAATAAACTGTTTTGCCGTTTGGATGTACTCCGTAATATATTTTTGTGTGTTCATGAATTATGATACACAATCCAAATAAACTAGACTAAAGCTCAACATCTTCTTTTAATTTTCTAATAATCTTTTCATTTCCAAATAATACACGTAAACATTTTTTATTTCGAACTAATTGTTTCATTTAGGCATAGATATAAGAGGAGACCAATTCCCAATGGCACTTGTCCTAGTACTAGTATATAGTTTATAGAAATCCATTTGCTTTTAAAAAAGAGCTTATTTTGGTGTTTCGCTTTGTAAATACGCGATCATAAATCATAATATGATAATATTTTGAAATCTACTTTAAGATTGTTCAAGATTTTTTACTATATATATAGCACCTAACTTATTCATTTTGTAAATACACAATCATAAATCATAATATGATAATATTTTGAAATCTACTTTAAAATTATATTGTTTTGTATTATAATACGAAGTAGGATTTGAGGGTATTAAGATAGACATTCTTGACATGTTTTTATACATGACATTAAAAGGAACGAATTATTATGAAATACAAATTGATCAGACATTTTTCGGACCACACCAGACTTAAGCGGACTAGACCAGTTAAAAACATTTACATTAGAAAACTCCCAATAAACACAATTTATGCAAGACTCAAGCAATCTATGTATCTCCAAATAATAGTTTGGATGAGTATTTATTTCTTCATTAGAAAACTTCCTGATGGAGTATATGGCCCAGGGACCCCCGGCTCACATATTTCCACTATTACATTCAGGCCCAACAGGACCAAAGCGGGCCAAGCCCAGCGGGATGGAGCTCTAAGCAGCCCACGATGGCCGAAGGCTACCAGTGACAGAATTGGGCTCAGCAACATCACGGGAAAATAAGGCTTGAAAACCAAGCCTTCGGCAATTGGAGCCCTCGGCACTATGAGGCCCCCGGTACGCAGAGCCTTCAGACTGTCATCTATAGCCGAAGGCATCCTCCTCGACAGAATCTCTCATCCACATGCGCTGGATCAACGTACCAAGTACAAACGTCGCATCCAACCACCGCATTTAATGCGGCCACATGCGAGTGTCAGCGCCACCCCGGATGAGGTGACCCCTCGACCACCAGAATGCTGACACGTGTCCCTATCTAGCATTTATTACTACTATAAATAGTTGCCCATTTCCCCTTTGTAACACACAACTTGAATACACATTCTATATTCGAACTCTTTATCTCTCTTACTTATTTGCTCTGACTTCTCTCTAGTTACTCCCCGCAGTAACCCCTCGGATAAGCTACCCCCAGGTACACTATCCATCACTTCCATTAAAATTATGGGTACGATTGATTCATAAAAAAGTCAAGCATAATATATTAATGGACAAAAATAAAAATACATATGTGATTCACATAGAAGGAATACTAGAAGGCAATAGTTAGTATATATGGGGGGAGCCAATATATTTTAGAGTGAATAAAATCATCTCTATTCATTATTGAGAAATTATGTAGAGGAAAATTACTATATATAATCAAAGTTGGGACTAATACTACTTACATACATAGTAATAATATTATGGCTAATATTAATATTGAACGGGGTTGAATTACAAAGTTATTACGTTTTCTAAATTCGTTTCACTGCAAGTTGAGGGACATATATGAATAGAAACACTTCACATATTGTTATAAATAATAATACTAACATAGCATCTTTTTTACTATTTATCTTTTGATTAGAAAGATCAATATAAAAGTTTGTAATCATATTTGTGGATCAATTAATGTGTTATTTAAGTATGGTTCTTTTATTTACAATATATTAAAAATATTACAATAAACGATAACTTACTAAATGAAAAACATTTAATTGATTAAACAGCAAAAGAAGTCAAGCATAATATATTAATGGACAAAAATAAAAATACATATGTGATGCACATAGAAGGAATACTAGAAGGAAATAGTTAATATATATAGGGGAACCAATATATTTTAGAGTGAATAAAATCTTCTTTATTCATTATTGAGAATTTATGTAGAGGAAAATTACTATATATAAGCAAATAAATTATTGATCTCCTAATTTAGTGATAGTCCTTCATTTATTTATATATGTAAATACCCTAATTTAACAAATAAATTCCGATTATTATTTGCTTTTTATTAGATGATTATGGATTGTTTACTGTGTTAGGATGAATTACTATTACATTTATTTTATATGATTATTAAACGGTTTAATAACTAACAAAAAGTTTTGAACTTAATTATTACAAATGGAAATAAAAAGACAAATAAATAAATTCAAAAATGATATCAATCTACGTAGAAAGTAAAAATGAGGAAAATCCAAATTTGATTCCTTATCTCAATAGTTACTTATATTTGCCAATAGCTTTCTTGAAATAACTTTAAAAATTTCAATGCACATTATAGAATAGAAAGATATTTTATACATATGGATGAATGTTAATATAACTCCTCTTTTAAAATATTACGTACTACACAATATTTTATTTATATTTCTAATTTGTTTAGTTTAATTTCTCTGTTTTAAATTTAAAAGGTGGCGTAGATTAAGAGACTTACCAAATCTACAATTATATTGGGCAAGCGAACATGCACAATCAGACCAAACACCAACTCTCGAGGATAATGACAACGATCGGGAACCTCACAGTAAGAATTCTTTATTTATTAAAAGTATTATGATTGATAATGTCAAAAAACATATTTCATATTTGTTATTTAGTTGTAATTCTCTACTCCATATGTAAATCTAATTGTTTATTCACTGTAGATTGTCCTGAAATTTATACAATCTGTAGTCCTCTTGAAAGTATTTTTACGTCAAGTGACACTGAACAACATGGTGTCCGGATTGTTCCTCTTCGTCGTCACAACAGACGTATAATAGATGAAGGGTTACATGGGAACACAAGTGATCCTAATTCTCAGCCAGGTATCCCAAGATAAAATTTATGAATATATATTTGATATACATTATTTAACTGTAATTTTTTACTCCATATGTAACTGTAATTTTTTACTCACTATAGATCGTCCTGTAATTTATACAAATCGGAATCCTGTTGAAAGTATTCTTACGTCAAGTGACACTCAACACCATGATATCCCGATTGTTCCTCTTCATCGTGGCAACAGACGTATAATTGATGAAGGGTTACATGTGAACACAGTTGATCTCAGTCCTCAGTCGGGTATCCCAAGTTAAAACTTATTAATTTTTATACATGTAATATTTTAGGGAAATAATAAGTAAATTTAATATATTAATAAACGTAAATTTATAATGAATTACATGCAGACTGTGACCATCATCAATGTGAAGATGAATTTCACAACTTGGATGAAAAACCATTGTCATTTGTAGGTACGTATGAATGCTCAAACCATAATGATGTATTCAAAATGGAACCATAATAGCACATACTTTATTGTATATTAGTTGTTTATACTAAATATTAATGAAGTTTTTAACAAATGATGCTTTAGATGAACTTGCTGATAATGCAACATCTTCAAAAGAAGGTTACACCGATCTTGGTGATGTTATATATGAATGTGAATATTGTGGTGCATTTTTTTGGCATGAGGAAAGAGTGAAAAGCGTGTGAGCCAAACAAAGGCCAAAGTTCACATTGTGTTGCAATCAAGGGAATGTTGTGCTCCCAAAAATGCAACAACCGCCAAAACTTTTGGAAGATTTGATATTTGGCAAAGACAAACGGGGTAAACACTCTCTTGAAAATATCAGATCATACAATTTAATGTTTTCATTCACGTCAATGGGCAGAAAAGTAGATCGTGAAATAAATCAAGGGAAAAGTCCGCCTATATTCCGTTTGAATGGTCAAAACTATCACAGAATTGGAAGTCTCCTTCCAAATGATGGCAAAAGCCCAAAGTTCTTACAAATGTATTTATCAGATCCATCTGAAGAAATTTCACATCGAATCTCAGTCGCGAGTTTAGTAAACATATGCATTCTCGAAGTAGTAAATACGTACATGTAGTTGAGTATCAATATTGAAATTTATAGTTACGTACATCTGTATTACGAAATTATTTTCATAGAGAAACTAAATAAAATTTATAGCTAAAG